TACAAATATTGAATCACTCTGTTGTATACCTGAAACTAATATAAATGTTATATGTTAATTATATCTCAATGAAAAAGGTTGTTAATAACTGACACAAAAAATTAAGTGGGACAGTTAATTGTTATGTCTAAAATAATCTTTTATTCAAAGTACTTCCCAAATTATTCAGCAGGGAGTAAGAGAAAGAATAATGGAAAAAAAGGTTTAAGTGAATACCGGATTCTACACTCAGAAGGAAAGACAGAATCAGAAAACTCAATATTTTTTCAACTCTCAACAAAATAACTGATTTAGGCAAGGATCATCAATTAATGCTCAAATCATTGACTGAAAGGATGTTGAGAAACAGGGAACTCATGTGGTCTCAAAGGATCACATCATGGATTATTTATTAAGTAAATAGGAAAAATACAGTTCAAATGAAACAGCATCTAGGTAGTAGTTTTGCAGAAAATGTTTACCTAAAATCCAATCATAAGGAACAATCAGAAAAATCCAGAATGTAGGATATTTTATATAGTGGCTGGCCTGGGATCTTGAAAGGTAAAATTTAAAGAAAAAAAAAGAAAGGCTAAAGAGACATGACAACCAAATGCAATGCATGAACTCTGGGGATTGGATAAAAAGAAAATCTGAATATTGACTCTATATTATATAGTATGGTACTACTGTTAATCTTAGGTATCATATTATATATACATAAGACTATAGGGCCACCTAGGGAAATGTCCTAGGAAGATGCATATAGAATATTTAGAGGTAAAGCATCATGATATCAGAGACTTATTTTCAAATGGTTCACACTACACATATGAATTAAAAAAAAATATATATATATATATATATTCCCTGGTAATTCAGCGGTACAGAATCTGCTTGTTAATGCAGGAGGTGCAAGATACACGAGTTTGATCCCTGGGTCAGGAAGATAGACTGGAGAAGGAAATGGCAACCCACTTCAGTTTTCTTGCCTGGAAAACCCCGTGGACAGAGGAGCCTGGCAGGCTACAGTCCATGGGGTTGCAAAAAGTCAGACAGGACCTAATGACTGAACAACAACAACAACGTATACACATACAAAACTATATTCCTACATAAATATAAAGGATATGTAAGTGTTCATTATACCATTTTTTGAGCTTGTCTATAGATTTGAATATTGTCAAAATAAAGAGTTGGGGGAGGTATGTTTTCTGTTTACATCAGTGATATTCTAAGCCTGGAGTAGTATGACTCAGTCATATAGTAAGTACACACAAACACACATACTATTTCAACATTTGGTAACTAGTTCATTGCTGATGTGTATCTACATCAGCTAAACAATTCCAGATGTAAAACTGGGGGAAAAAAAAATAGTTTTCAAAGGCTTTGTCTGCTCCAACTATCTGGTGTACACGCAAGTCTTCCTGGCAGTGTGCAGTATTCCCTCCCACTACTCCTAGGAACCCCAGACTGAACTACTTCCCAAACAACTCACACTTTCCAAATGAAGCCTTTGTTCATGCTGCTTTCTCGGTCTGAAACACTGTTCCTATTACTTTACTTGTCAAAATCTTACCCAGTATTTAAGGCTTAATTCAAATTCTTCTTCCTCCATGGAAGACTGACACCTCCTCCTTCCAACTAAAATAAATCACTCCCTGCTCTGTGGTCCCTATACCTCTTTTGAAACACATCCTCATTCCTTTTTGCATTATTGTCATTTATTCCCTGAAGAGGGAGTTTTGTTTAATAGTGTTGCATAGGATAATATCTATATTCCAGAATAATGCTCAAGGCCCTCATGAGGTGGTGCCTACTTCCTTTTGAATCTTAAGTCTTGACACTCCATTCTATAGACATGATACCAGAGCTATGCATGTTTAGTCATGCAGTCATGTCTGACTCTTTGCAATCCCATGGACTGTAGCCCTCCAGGCTTCTCTGTCCATGGGATTTCTCAGGCAAGAATACTGGAGTTGGGGGATGGGGAGAGAGGTGGGAAGGCAGTTTGGGGGAGGAGGGGGCATATGAATACCTATGGCTGATTCATGTTGATGTATGGCAGAAACCATTAAAATATTATAGAATAATTATCCTCCAATTAAAATTAAAATTAAAAATAATACAGCAGTGGGTTGCCATTTCCTTCTCCAGGGGATCTTCCTGACCCAGGGATCAAACCCTCATCTCCTGCATTGGCAGGTAGATTCTTTACCACTGAGCCACTGAGAAGCCATCAGAGCTATAATATAAGCCAATTTTCCACTAGGGACTCCTGGTCCCTCAATTTCATGGCCTGTCTAGGAGAAAAGTGCTCACCAGGATACCTATGAATTCCTAAGGTATTCTCATATAACCTGCAATGCTAGTGACTTCTTCAGGCTACCACTTATTTGCTCTCCTTTGCATTTTAACTGATTACAAAATTCAGTCTCTTCTAAGTTTTGGCAAAATAAAACAGAACCTTTCCTGCAAAGCATTCGTGAGTTTGGCTTACTTTTGAAGGAGATGAAGGACGATTTACATTTTCATGATACTACAAATTCCCTGAAAATTTAAGTATCCACTTTCCTTCTTATTGTTGTCTTATCTTCCCACTTTCCTCTTTCCTTCCCTCCCAGAAGTAAAAGTTTGGCACAGCCAACTCCCAAGACTCCTCCCTCAAACAATTAACAAGGGATTAAACAAAACAAAAACAAACCTTGTAGTTTCTTCCTAAGAGAAATTTTTCGACCAGCTTTTCACATAATTTTTAAAAAATCCATGTAAATCTAATCATGCCATACTATACAGCTTCATACATACACCATACTATTTCATACTTTAATGCTTTTGCGCATTCTGCTCCTTCAGCCTGGAATGTCCTTCCCTCTGTAGTTTACTTGGCAAATTGCACTTCCCCACTCATGACTCTCCCCCAATCTTCTCTAATCCAAAATAGTGGCTTCATCTTCCCTCTTTGGTTTAATCACTGTGCACAATATTTACCTTTACAGGATTGTAGCGAGCTATTGTAAGTGTGTCTTCAATGCCAGACTACAGACTCCTTGAGGGTAGACACTGCACCTCACTGACTTTTATACTCCCAGCTTCTACCCCAGAGCCCGATCAATATAATACATGCTAATTAAATATTTTTCAAATGAATAATAAGTGAAGAATGAATGAATTTTGCCTAGACCTGAGATTTAAGACTTCTAAGGTATAAAGAAAGACTGTAAAATGTTGGAACCATCTTTTGCTTCAGAGAACACTTTCTAATTTGGAGCATTTATAAATTTCAGTGCCAAGTCTTCTTATTATCTGTCCATAGTCTGTTAAATGTCATACTTAGCAAGTATACTTCATTATAGTTCATTTACAAAATTTCTAACATAGCCTACATTGAAGCAATAAAAAGTGAAAACTTCAGAGGAACTATTTAGAGATAGTTTCATAAAACAAATTCCACATAGAATAATAAAACATGTTTAGCTATTATCAAGCACAGGGCAAAGAGAAAAACTGCACCACTTACTTGATATTTTTGTTCAAACAATTTAGTTTCTGTTGGGAGAGTATCTAAATTCCAATTCTTTTAACATGAATAAAACAGCATCCACATCTGGAACCCAGACCACACGTGATGGCTTCACAGAGTTTGCCCATTCTTTGTTTTGAAACAATGAGACAGAAAATATAATGTGTTCCTAGGAAAGGAATCCACATTTGCAATGAAATTAAAAGAATAAACGGGGTCATTTTATTTTTGTGTGGCGTACAGACTGTTAAATGAAATTAAAATTGTAATTTAACAGTGAGTTCAATCAAGTAGAATTTCAAGCACTCTTCTCTTTGATATGCATTTTGTTTTTGAAAAATGAAAGGCCTAATATGTAAATTGGTAAAAAAAAAAAACCAGCATATAATACCTGCATGACCCATTTTCAATTATAGTCCAAATGTGGTTTTTATGATCAAAAGGTAAGTAGGTCCTGAAAATAAAATGTAAAAAGGACACATCATATACCATTTCCAGCATTTTTCCCTGCCAGCCAGCTCTGGGACCATAAAAGGAGGAGAAACTGCTCTAGTCCACATAGTCTAGGACGCATATCTAGGAAATAGAAAAGTAACATGATCCTGAATGCAAAACAGAAGGATGGCATCTATAAGGCACAACAGTCAGTTCCTTACCTGAATGTTGTACCAGATTAGGAGAATAGGTACTGAGAAATGGGCCAACCAACAAAAGTGAAAATGAAAGTGAGTTGCTCAACTGTGTCTGACTCTTTGCCACCACATGGACTACAGCCCATCATGCGTCTCTGTCCATGGAATTCTCCAGGCAAGATAACTGGAGTGGGTTGCCAGTATTTTCCAGGGGATCTCCCTGACCCAGGGATTGAACCCGGGTCTCCTGAATTGCAGGCAGATTCTTTATCATCTGAACACCAACAAAACCACACATTAAAAAAGTGAAGGAATGAAAGTGAAATCCATTTTTTTTTAAATAAAAAGAAACAAAACTTTTAGCCTGAAAACAGAAATGAACTACTAGTGAATAATTATCTGTCTATGGGCCTTTACATAAAGATGTGTTTCTTCTCCCTCCAAGCAATTAAACATCATAAAATGAGCTAAAGATTTTCAGATTTTAGACTAAGCATAAATAAGAATTTATTGATAAATAGATTCATTAGCCACATGAAGTATCTTCAAATAAAATAAAGCTGTAAACTTAGGCATCTGAAGATTTCTTTACATTGATTGATATAACATTTACCTGGAAACAGGAGGCAAGATAAGAAGTTTTCTGGTTCTAGGATTTGTAATACTTTTTGTAAAACATTAGAGATAACCTGAAAATTTTATTTAATAATGTTGCCTAACCAAAGTGATTGTATGATTAGGTCTAAAGAAATATAAAACAGAAGCTAAATATTTTTAGTTTGCATAAACTGTTGCTATCTTATTGGAAATACACCTTCTATACTAATATATCATCAAATAATCTTTATATTAAACATTTTTAGGGTTTGATGACACTTTCCAGACATAGAAAATTAAAGGAACTTTCTGTGTCTGAGTGTGATAAAATCACCGATTTTGGAATCCAGGTAAGATAATTATGTTTTGTTGTTGTTGTTGTTAAAGAATTAAGATTGAAAATTAAGTGCAAATTGAATAACCTTTGTGGGTAACAACAGGGAAAAAAAGAAGCGGAATGAAACCAATAATACGTATGTGATCTTGGTTGAGCCAGGATCAACTCTGCCTTTAGTCAGGTCTCCACAGCCTGAGGTGATTGAGAGGATTTGCTTTTCTATGTTTTCCTGTCTACTCCCTCCCTTCCAGATGTCAGACTCATAGGATAGACAGGGAGAGGTTGACATTTTATTTGGAGAATAATGAACTGCAATGTGGTAAAAAATCTTCTCATATTAATATAATAGAAATGTTCTGTAGAAAGAAATGTTATATCATCTAACCATGAAAATTGAGGGAGTCTGAAAAAGTACACCAGGTACTTAACCATTAGGGACTAAGTTATTCAAACATAATTGGTAGTATACTTTGCCAGGATGGAAAGCATGAGATAAGTAATTGGATAAGATAAATGATTATATGCTGAAATGGTACTTTAAGAACTCATGAGAAGTAAATTTCCTAGACCTGGTGTTGAGTGATAGATAGGAAGTCATAAAGTAGTTATTGTGAGCAAGCCACACATGGTGTTTATCACAACATTAAGCATCTCAATTTGCTGTTAAAAGAAGACAACTGAAATTATATATCATACTTGTATTGAACTAGGGCAAAATCTGGTTACTGATTAGTAAAATAGTGGAAGATAGCATTTTTAAACAGAACTAATAATCTAGGAATGTGGAAACTGTTAAACGCATTGGAAACTCCATTTAAAGTATCCTGAGAGTTCAGAAACCCCAGTATTTATGAAAATCTGAGATTAAACTCAGAAAAATAATTTAAATACAAACTCTTATTGACAGAAAAGAAGTCATCTCACACATAGAAAGATAATGCAAATATTAGGTGAAAAGTCCACCAGAGCATGGCAGACCTGAAGTTAAGCTATCTTCCATGAATTTGAAATGAACTTTTCAAGAAGTTCTAACATAACTAATAGGAGAGTGTTAAAACATTATATGAACTGTTGGGCTACAGAGTGCCAGGTCAAATGGTGTTCTAGACTTCAGCATAGAATTTCACCATTCTGAAGCTGAAGGAATCTTACAATCATCTAAACCATCTCTATAATTTTACAAGTGAGGAAACTAAGGCCCAGAGGGCTTAAACAGTCTAAAGTCCTATGCCTTCTCAGCAAACTAATCTAATTTTACAGAAATGAAGAGTAGAAACAGAGAACTGCTGTTCTAAATGGTTGATGGTCAACATAACCTAGTGGGAAAAATTGTTTTCAAATGATTTTCACTGTACTTCATTGTATCAGGACAATGTAATGGTACTGGAAAATGTACACTGATAAGTCTCCTTTAAAAAGAAGGGAAGGGAAGGGAAAAAAAAGAAGAAGTCTCCTTTAGGAGGCAATAATGTCAAATGATGTGAATTTCTCCCAGTTTCAGATCCTGTTTGCCAAATTTCTAGCAGGTTCCTAAGAAATATACCTAGTAGTACGTTCAACTGTATAAAGACGTAAAAAGAACAAACACTATTTTTCAAAGCAAAGATCCCAGAGAGGACCAACAACTTGCATAGGGCAAGATTGTAACTCTACAATAACAAAAGGGGTTATAATGCGTGTAACCTACTAGAAGAAAAAGCTAAGCAGTTCCTCTAAGGTTAAACCATGACTTATGTATCACAGTTCATTTAAGGATTAAACATGAATTTACATAAAACTTTATCCATAAATATGATCTAGTCAAGCATTCAAAAGGTCTTTAACAAGGCAACAGAATAAAGGTTATTAAAATTTTTTTTTTTAGGTTATTAAAATTAAACAGATATTAACATTTCTAATATCGGGTTATATTTCCTTCATGGTGATCAATTACATTTGATCAATAACTACAAATCATTCAGAAGTATTAAAACCCCCTATGGTGATGACACACAAGACCTCTTAATATCCATCACTATTCATTTAAAAGTGCTTCTTGGAATGAAAGAGAGTGCTGACCAAAGTTTGAAGCTAAGTATCAGGAAGCAAGTGCTTCCTGCCATGGCCTTTTTATTTTCCCTCTTGGGAGCCTGAAAATCATACTATTTTTCGGTGCTCTGAGATTTTAGATGAAAAAGTTTACCTATATGTTAACTGTATGATCATATAGCTAAGTTTGGTATAGCTTTTAAAAATGTAGTCTTTTATTGATGCATTGATTTTAGTGATCTAAAAGAAAACAAAAGATGGGGAATACAGGAGCATGGACATACAGAATAATTTAATTATCAGTTGTACAAGATTGGCTATTCAAGTTCATAAAAAAAATTTTTTTTCTCTTTCTCATCATCTCTTTTTTTCCCCTCTTCTCCTTGCTTTTGGAGTGTACGTGGTGTGTGTGTATGTGTATGTGTGTCTTTATGCTCACACTGAAATGCTGTAACTTTCAATCTCTTTCTACCTCTTCCAAGGTTTCAAGGTTTACACTAATGGGCATGTGGTAATCTTTCTCCTCCTTCCCTCCTCCAGCCTAATCATTAAGTTCCAAAGAGATGAAACAAAGAGGGAGGAGGAGAAAGTGATACATAAGCCACTTTCACAATTCTTTATCTGGATTTGAAACAAATGTGATTAAACTGAGATGTTTAGATTATCCTAAATTTATCAGGAAATTTCTTGTTATTTAGAAGGTAGAGGACTCTCTTTTTGGCATATGACATTGAAAACTACATAATGATTTAATGAGAAAAAGGAGAAGATAAGCATTTTTACCCTGGCTTGGTTTTGCAAGAGTCATGAACATAATAAGTATAAAAAATTACCTCATTTTAGTTTTACTGGAAACCACAGCATATGAAGTTTGAGTATCTGGAGCTCAGATGTATTAACTTTTTAGAATCTGGTTTTAATTACTTTTCCCAACTTTAGTTTTTTTTTCCTGAGAATATTAGACATTCAATGATCACGTTAAACTAAAATTATTTGGTACTCTTGAAAGACACACTCATTTTGGAAGCAATGTCTGATATAGTCATAGCTGGGCATTTCTCAAGAAACTTTTTTCCTTGAGGATTTTGCAAATTTAAATAACAGACCGCCAAGTTTGGCAAAAGAATTGGTTTAACTGGGATGTGTGTGTGTGCTCAGTTGCTCAGTCATGTCCGACTCCTGGCAACCCCACGGGCTATAGCCCACCAGGCTCCTCTGTGCATGGAATTTTACTGGCAAGAATACGGGAATAGGTTGCCATTCCCTCTTCCAAACCCAGGGATCAAACCCATGTCTCCTGTGTCACCCACATTTGACAGCAGATTCTTTACCAATAGCACCACCTGGGAAGCCCCTTTAACTGAGATGCTATGGTACAAATATATTAGAAGTTTTGTTCTATTAAGTTGTTTGAATAGAACCAATGGAATAAATAAAATTATTTAGTCAACTGCTTTTTACATTCCCTTAACCTGGTGATGCAGATGGTGAAGAACCTGCCTGCAATGCAGGAGAAAGTGAAAGTCAGTCAGTCGTGTCTGACTCTTTACAACGCTATGGACTATACATAGTCCATGGAATTCTCCAGGCCAAGATACTGGAGTGGGTAGCCTTTCCCTTCTATCGGGGATTTTCCCAGCCCAGGGATCAAACTCGGGTCGTCTGCACTGCAGGCGGATTCTTTACCAGCTGAGCCACCAGGGAAGCCCAATTGCTGAGTATAAGTGTGTAAATTAAATACACGTATACATCTTAGTAGTTGTTAGATTACATGAATATGTCAATGTGTGTGTATATTCAGTATGTCCAAATTGTGTATAGGGATGCTATAATATTATTTAGTTTAGCCTAATACCAAATAAGATTGCCAGGACAAATATCAATAACCTCAGATATACAGATGACACCACCCTTATGGCAGAAAGCGAAGAAGAACTAAAAAGCCTCTTGATGAAAGTGAAAGAGGAGAGTGAAAAAGTGGGCTTAAAACAGAACATTCAGAAAACTAAGAACATAGCATCTGGTCCCATCATTTCATGGCAAATAGATGGGAAAACAGTGGACAGACTTCATTTTTTGGGGCTCCAAAATCACTGCAGATGGTGAATACAGCCATGAAATTAAAAGACCCTTGCTCCTTGGAAGAAAAGTTATGACCAACCTAGACAGCATATTAAAATGCAGAGACATTACTTTGCCAACAAAGGTCTATCTAGTCAAAGCTATGGCTTTTCCAGTAGTCATGTATGGATGTGAGAGTTAGGCTGTAAAAGTTCACTACATCAATGTGGGAGGTATATTGGAAGCCTTGACTAGGCATATTTGTTTCAAAGAATGGGAGATAAATCCCGCAAAGCATCAAAGTTCAGCTAAGAGTATATGTACACAAAAAAACCTGCATGCAGATGTTTATAGGAGTTTTATTTATAATTGCCAAAATGTGAAAGCATCCAGCATGTCCTTCTATAGGTAAATAGATATATAAACATCCAGACAATGGAACATTATTCAGCAACATAAAGAAAAGAGACACCAAGTAAGGAAAAGACATGGAGGAAGTATAAATGCTATTACTGTGAAAGAAGCCAATCTGAAAAGGCTAAGTACTGTATGATTCCAACTATATGACATTCTGGAAAGGCAAAAGTATGAAGACAGTAAAAAAAATCAAAACCTATAGGGGAGGAAGAGATTAACAGGTGGAGCACAGAGGATTTTAAGGGCAGTGAAACTACTCTGTATGATACTATCATGGTGAGTACATGTCATTTCACATTTGTCAAAACTAATAGAATGTACAACACCAAGAGGGAACCCTAATGTAAACTATGGACTTTGGGTGATTATGATGTGTTGATACAGGTTTATCAATTGTAACAAACATACCACTCTGGTGGGGCATGTTGATAATAGGGGAGACTATGCATGTGGGGGGGAAGGAGATATATGGGGAATTTCTGTAACTTTTGCTTAATTCTGCTGCGA